AAATATATTATTAGCTAATAACTTTTATAATATCACAAAAAATAAAATTTATGTATAAATATTTATTTATTCTGGAAAAACCTTTGAAATATTTTATAACTAATAAATCATATATCACCATTACAATATATATCACTACAAAAAAATGATTAGTTTAAATCATTTATTTTATATATTTGTATTATTTATAAATTATGTAAAAGCATTTTACATCACTTCCATAAATGACTTAGTTTTTGGTGATGCAAATAATTTGTATCATTTTGTTCATAACTGATGTAAAAATAGCATATATTTGCATTAATTACTTGAAGTGATTTTAATATGTGTCACTTGTTAGAAATGATGTTATTATTCACATCACTAATCATAATTGATGTTAAATATTTATTTCAGTTATAAATAATTGATGTTAAAATTAATATCAATTATTGTAATAATTATAATATTATAATAATTACGTAAATATAAGAAATTATTTGATTAATAANATTACTTGAAGTGATTTTAATATGTGTCACTTGTTAGAAATGATGTTATTATTCACATCACTAATCATAATTGATGTTAAATATTTATTTCAGTTATAAATAATTGATGTTAAAATTAATATCAATTATTGTAATAATTATAATATTATAATAATTACGTAAATATAAGAAATTATTTGATTAATAACAAATTTTGTTTTATTAGATAATTATCATAATTATTGTTTTTAATTAATTACATAACAAACAATATCTTTCTAATATCGATTAAGATTTCAATTACAAAATTTTTTTTTCAGAACCTACATCACGATTTACAAATAATTTACAAAAAAAAAACAACACATATCAAACATATTACTAAAACGATACATCTTTTGTTCATTGTTCTTTGTTCCTTCTTGTAAAGGTCACATGCTCTATTTCTGCCATGAATTGTAAACTGTTCATGATGAAGATTCTTTGAAGATCAACATATCTGAAGATACACTTTCCTGTAAAAACTAAAGAAAATAAATTTCATAAGACCTTTGATGAATCTGTTTGAGAATATTGATTTATAAATATTGAATAGCATATAATCTTAAATACCTCTTATGTTTCTCCTGTAGAAAACGTTTGAAGTACATCTCCACTGATGAATACCTTATCATCACTTTAATCTATCAACGATTATTAGGAATGTGAATACTATTCCAAATAGCAAACAGAAACGAATAGGTGAGGGAATAAAAGAAAACATGTAGTAATACAAAGTAATAAATTCTTTGAAGTTTTTAGAAGATGATCAATCATCAGATATCAACTTTGAAAACGGTGGTTGAAAAAAGTTTTCTAAATGTTGTGGGAGTTAGAGAAGTTTTTGACGTGATAAAAGGAATGTGAGTTTGTGGGGTGATCAGATAAAAAAGGAGATCCCTATATTTGTGGTAACATATATTTTTATTTTTCTTTGTCAAAAAATATTTATTTTTAATGTCACAAAAATTTCTTAACAAACTAAATAAAAGGTCAGTATAATACATTCCTAACGAGAGTTGGAGTAAATAACGCATTTATTTCAGGTTAAATGTCAATTAACTATAAGCATTTATTTCAGGTAAAATTTTACCATATATGTCGTAAAATCTTTTCATCTAGTTTTTTTTAATAATTATGTATTTATAATCATTTACATATATTTTGATGTAAAAATTCAGCTATATATATTTTACAGAATTAATTTTAGGTTGATTATTTAATCAGATTTTTTTGTAAGATAGAATAAAAATTTATTTAATCAATATTGAATATTCGAATTTATAAAAATAAGCTCTGGAATCATCAAAACAATAAAATGAACGACATATATTAATATTTTGTAAACTAATTTATTTTTATATCAAATTTGCATCGTTTATTATAAATAATGTTACTTTATATCATTTTTCTAACTGATATAAACACAAGTTAATACATGTATCAGTTATTTACGTGATGTAAACGTATATTTTGTATCAGTTGTTTGAACTGATGTAAACTAGTATATATTTGTATCAGTTGCAATGAAAATGATGTTAGATAAATTTTAAGAACATCGTTTACTATAACTGATACTGAAACAAATATTCTGCATCACTTTTTAATAAATAATTCAAACTAATATCACTTATCTTTGTGATGCAATTTAAGTGATGTAATACAGTCTTTTTTTTGTAGTGTATGTATATATAGCATTAATAAAAATAAACTAAATATAAGTACATTGTTAAAAAATTTCACATTAACTTATATATTCTATGTTTATAATTAAATATATATATAATAAATATTTGTAAATTTAAAATACAAAACTAAAAAACACTAATAAAATAAAACTTTTTTTAATTATTATTAGCATTTATTGGTTCATGAAGTAAACTAAAATATTTTTTACCATTTTAATATATTTTCAGATAAAACAGAAAGATCTTAAAAAATTTAAAATCTATATTTTTAAATATAGATATACTTAAATTAAAGATAAAAATATACTCAAAATAAATAGTTATTAAATATATTAAACATTAAAACATCATTAAAAATGTGACACATGGCATTTTTTCCCCTATGGAGGAAAAAACCAACTTTATTATCTAAGATTAAATAATTTTGTTTTATAGATTATAACTTTTTTAATACATTCATTTAATGCAGTTATAAATCCATATATATATATTTGTTGGGGTTAACATCGATCATGGAAAAATCAAGGGCTAAAATATTTTGAAAAATATGCCTTAGATAAATATGAGCCGGAAATTTCGAAGAAACTACACCACATATACATCTTTGTTGGGGATAAAATCGATCATGGTAAAATCAATGGCTTAAATATTTCAAGAAATATTTAAGCCTTAGATAAATATGAGCTGGAAATGTCTAAGAACAAAACTCCGTATATTTCATCCCAGACAAGAAATGAAAGAGTTTTTATCCAAACAAGAAAAGATCAGAAAAACGTACGTGCGGAAGGTTTTTGTGATAAATGACAAATTTTATACGAAAAAATTTTCTGTTGAATAAAATTCAGAATGTTTCTGCGGAAAAACCTGGTAGGAAAATCTGCCAGATAATCTTCTGCAAAACAGCTTTCGGAATTATTTTAAGGATAACCTTGCGTAATATAAACCAAGTAGTTCTGAAAGTTCAAGTAGCAATCAACGGAGATATTAAGAGCAGAAGAAAGGAACCAACACACTCTTCGCTTCTCGTCACCAGCTGACAACGGACCAGCTCCATATCCTTGCCTTTGAGGCTCTGTCATCGCCCTCCATCTCCTCGCCGCATTTCCATGTCTCCTAGAGGCGACGACACCCCTCTCTCTCCACATTGCTTGCATGCGACGACGACTCCCTCTCCGCATCTAGTCGCCAGCAGGAGACCAGACCGTGTAGCTGGCGACAAGACCGTCTCTGCGTCTCGTTTCCAGTTGGCGACAAGACAGTGTCTGTGTCTCTGTGTCTCGTCGCCAGCTGACGATGCTACCCTCTTCACGTCTCGTCGTCAGCAAGCCCACGACCATATCTGCTCGTCGCCCTTTGACATGCCTAGTTTTATATTTCTTGATGAACTCGCAAAGGCAGTTCGATCTCTTATTCCATTCTTTTAATTGAACTACGTTCGGCTTGACTATTGGAAAAGGTACGTAGGCAGCCTTCCATAAGGTTCCGTCATAACAAAACTTTTTGTATCTTTTTTTTTATCTTTTGTTATCGAGATGCGACTCAAATTAGGTTTAGGGTTTAGGCGGCTAGAACTAGAGAACTCGCTGGCCGCTCTTGAGGCTGTAGATCTCATAACCTTTTGTAACCTCACTACGCTCTTATGAAAATACCAAATAAAGAACTACTTTTTCCAGATTTGTTTTAAAGACTTTGCTTTAGTGTCATGATGTATTTTCCGCATTTATTTGATCACTTGTCGTTGGTCCCTATTGAGAATCCGGATCCTCAACAAAAATCAAGAATCTTTAATTTCCTCCATTAACAAATTGATAGTGAAAGATGTCAAAAAAAAATTGATAGTGAAAATTTTGGTTCCCATAGTCATTGAATATTTTATTAAAACTAAAACTTATGCACATTCTAAGAATTTAGTTAAAACAAAATTATAGTTTTGTAAACTTTTGTAAAAATAATATTATAAGAATTTTTCTAATCAATAATAGAATCATATACTAAAAATATCTTTTTGAATGGGAAAATGAACTATTGGAGCAAACTTAACCTCATTTTACAAGAAATTATGGAAGTAAGCATCAGTGATGTCCTTAGAGTTTCAAATACAATCATCTCTCTACTATCTTATGATTTTTTTCTTTGATTTTGTAAATTAGATATTCATGTTATATATGACTTTAGATGGATACGAAGCAGATATCCAAAGAGGTTTATGTGTTTTGATATCTTTGGTCTGGATCATCGACTTGTTAGTTGTATTCGCTCTAATCCATTTAAATATTCAGTATTCGAATATCCAAACATATATTTAAATAGATAGTCAAAAATTATGTACAAATAAAATTCAAAAATAAATATTAGTTAAAAGTTATTTATTTTGTAAATAAAATAAGAAAATAATAAAATATTGAAATACTTACATAAAAGTAATAACTGCATATAATCAGAATGGATATGCATTTTTAAGACTGTAAACATTTTTTTTTTTTGGCATCAGACTGTAAACATTTGTAATTTATTTCGCTTATACGATTGCTGCATATTAATAGTTGATTTGTTCGTAATAATAGATACCCAAATTTTTCGGATCGAATCAAATCAAATGTATTTTATCAAAGCAAGTAGTGTGTTCAGAAATCGGATCGGATAATTGTCTAAATTGTGCAAAAGAAAATCAGTGTAGCTTTTTCCGACTTTTTTTAACTAGAAATTATCGTCTGATGTCAAAAAAAAAAAAAAAAAAAAAAAAAACTGGAAATTATGTATTTGGGCCGTTTTGGTGAATGGGCATTTTGGGCAAAGAAGGTGATTCAGATTTTGATGCAGTTAATATTTGTTCACCCTAATTTTGTAATCGCTCATAATCGTCGCCTTCATCTTCATCCTTTGGCTTCTTCTTTCAGCGGGATTGAGTTTCAGGTAAATTCATCTAAATTCATCTAAATTCGTTGGTCTTCTGCGCTTATAATTTATTCTTACAAACGCTGAAAATATCCAAAACTTCAGGCTTGATAATGGAGATTGAGACTCACGACTCAGTAGTACCTGGGAAGAATCTGGTTAAAGTCTCATTCAAACTTGGAACGGAGAGCTACACGCTTGATGCAATCCAAGGTGATACTGTTACAGACCAATTGGTTTCGATGAAAGAGGAAAGTATGAAGATACTCAAGGAGTTTATTACAAAGCATAATGTTCCTGATCATGTCCCCGACGAAAGCTTGTCTGATGAAGGAGATGAGGATGATGCTGTCAAATGTCCTGTGAAGCCCAAGAAGACAAAGATTTGATTTGACTTCCTTTTAATAAAAACCTTCTTTCATTTATCACTTGCTGTGTTTTTTTTCCATGGATGTTGTTGTTAGTGGAACAGTTCTGTTTACTTGATGTTGGTGATTGCATTGCATGTGAAGAGCACAGCCATTGAATGCTCACTGAGTTAGCTCTTGGAACTTCAGCGAAACTGTGAGAACACAAAAAAAATTTAAATAACAGCACAGGCCAGCCAGCAAAGTCTCTTGTTATGAATTATATTGGTTAGTTATTTTTGGTTCATGTGTCATTGATTGATTCAGGAACCAGCAAAGTCTCTTGTTAGAGAGGTTATGTTTCTGTTTTTGTCACTGAAATTGAGAGTTTATTTGACCTGTGTCTCATCATGATACGATTTAAGTATCTAAACTTGTAGAACAGAGATTATCAAAAGGAAATACTGATTATACTGATAAAATAGGTAAGTGTTTACAAGGTTTGAGAGAAATTATAGAGTCTCTCCTCTCTCCATGAACATGACTTGATCAAACTCTTGATACCTCTCCTTTACAAGTCTTGTTCTTATTTATACTACTAAGCTATCTCTTATCATCTAGCACGTACTGATGAGCCTCAAGCATGTGTAGCCTTCCACGTCACTCCCACACATTCTTCATGACCCAACATCCCATGTGCCTTTGCTCCCTCCTAGCCACGTCACTAATCCTTAACATTCTAGAATACTTACTCTCCAAGCATTTTCTTAGATGGGCCAACGTATCAATACTCCTCCCTTTGAATTCAACCTTGTCCTCAAGGTTGAGCAAAGAACCGAGAATGTGTTTGGACAGTGCACCTCTCTCAACCCATTTCGCAGAGTAACCTGAAGCTAGAGCTGTTGATTCATACTCTTGAAAAATCCAACAAGCAACTACAAAAAGCTTTATAACAGTCCCTTTGTCCTCCAACTCAAGCAGATTCCTTTCGTCTCCAGCTGTATACTCCTGTTTTGGTAAATGCTTGTTGATGCCCCAGTACCGTTTAGTGTAACCCATTTTGTCAGCCGGCGTATACTTCAGAACGTGATCATACTGTGACTTCTTCATGCTCAAAAATTCATTCACTGTCACCTGAGGTATCTCTGCCGGTGGTGTAGGCGTGATGGTCCTATTTGAATGTTGCCGTTCCTCATAGTCTTTATTAAAGCCAATCTGTCCCAACACTCCAAAGAAACACCACAACCAGTATTCTAAAATGTTGGAAGAGAGCTCAGGTGGTCTTGTAAAGTGGAACATCACAACGACAGAGACTAGAGCCTCATGGAACTGGAGTTCTCGTTCTACTGTGAGTTGCGAAGTTCCCAACATTATTTTCTCCATGTTGAGAACATCATACTTTGTATACTTTCTGTCTGAATCTTCAAAAACAGGAGGCAAAAACTCGCCATACTCGCAAGTTAAAAGCATGGCGACTATCCTTACAAAGTGAAGCTTCATACTCGTCTCAGCTTTCTTGGACATAAATTTATCTATCGGATTCATTGTGAGAAACCATGTCTTGTTCCCCCGGGCCACTATTACCTTCCTTCTCTCAAATTCCTCAACGTAATCAGCTTCCCCACTCCCTTCTTTCATGGTTACACTCAGAGTTTGGAAAATCCCTCGCTCCAACACAAGCCAGCAAACTGTCATTTGTAGGACTACTTCCTGAATTTTCTCTAAGCTAGTTCCGCCTGGGTCCCAGTGACAATCAATCTCAGCAACCTGAGCCCAACTGCTTGTTTTCTTCTCATTTGTACACAATACCCTAGTAACTGGACTCATCTTGTCACCTCTTGAGTTCCACAGAATGTCACTATCACTTCCTGAAAATCCAACATCCACCCAGAACACCAAGGCCGTTAACATCTTTTCTGCCTTCCCTCGTTGATAGGTGCATTTTTGAGTCAACACAGCTCTAAACTCATTGAGAACAGAGGTTCCCAAACGTGAAGCCCATCTACAGATCACGTTTTCGAGAATACATACCAGCAGGAAACATAATTTCTGGAACACGCTACCCTCCTCTGAAGCTTCTATCTGAAGCCTCATTTTCAACAGACTCATCATGCTAATCACCACCTCTTTTGTTCTCTTCTTGGTTCGAGACTTAGCTCTCTTTCCCTTTGTCGTATACAGCTGCTTTACCACTTTCACGAATTCACTTAGCAGTATTACAATGATCAGTGCAGCAATGTAGGGCACTCCTTTACACTCCTGCTGCTCATTCCGCTTCTGAGAAGATCTCAGATCCGTAATTTTGTATCTGACCTTAGGCTTCTTCCACTCCCACATGAGCTTCACACATGTCTTCTTAACAAGCGACAAAATCTTTCCATGGACCACATATTTCAATGACTTTGATCTCTTCCTCATCTTGGCAGCCAGCAACTTTCTACTCTTCACCAATACACCACTGTGCATGATCCATTCACGCTGATTCTTCTCCCTAAACTTGTGTTTCATAAACTTTTCAAGCTTCCTCAAAACTATTGCATGTCTCTGCATCAGCCTCAACTTCTCTTGCTCCAGCTTACTCTTGCATTTCTTCATTTTTTTTTGCAACCTTTAACAACAGCCTCCTGTTAACTCTCTGAATGTTGTGTACACCTGTTTTTATGCCCACTTTCTCATTCGTACATTCCATCACATAACAGTACAACCTTTCTCTCATGTTTTTCATCTTGGCTCCATCAAATTTCTTGCACAACTCTGGCCTTTTGTAAGCTATATCCTTCTTCCATCGTTTCTTCTTCTTAGTTACTCTTTTCATTTGCTTAGACATTTTATCGAACAGTTGGTAGGCATACCTCTCAGCCTCTATTTCTTTTTCTCTCATACACAGCTGCTCATCAAGAAACCCAGACCACTGTCTCTCGCTATCTACATGCTCCTTCCTGTCAAAACCCAAATCATTCTCAAAACTTCTCTGCTTCTCCAAAATTGACTTCCACCGCTTCTTCTTCTTCCTCGTATTTCCTCTCAGCTCATCTGACTGGGTTTTCAGGAACAAAGTCTCTCTTGTTTCCATCTGTTCTTCTTCTTCCCTTGCTTTCACACAGATCACCGCATCATCCACTGTTCCCAATACCACCGGAGGAGTCACCATCCACGTTGACAGCTCTTCGGATACAATCACAGGTGGAGCCAACTCAAAACTCTTCACAAATCCTTCGACAGAGCTAAGGATCTGATTCGAATCTCCAGCAGCCAACATCTCTTCTTCATGTTGTTTCTTCGCCTCATCTTCTTCATCCCAGCGGTCCAACATACGACCGATCCGTCGAAGCATTTCCTGGCGGTTAGTCAACTCTTGTTGACTCGGGCGTTCAGTGAATCGCATCACAAGTCTGTACTTAAGGTTAGCCCAGCTTTTAAACAACGATCGTGAGCTTTCCTCGTGATACCAATCCAAAGCTTCCCCTTCTATGAAACCATAAGCGAACCGTAGCGTTTCATAATCGGAGAAACCTTGATCAAAACAGAAGTCGTTGATCCAACACACCCACTCCATCAGATCATCACCTTCCCCGTAGAAAATCGGTACATCAATAGTCCCCATGGCTCGTCACTGCTCTGATACCAATTTGATACGATTTAAGTATCTAAACTTGTAGAACAGAGATTATCAAAAGGAAATACTGATTATACTGATAAAATAGGTAAGTGTTTACAAGGTTTGAGAGAAATTATAGAGTCTCTCCTCTCTCCATGAACATGACTTGATCAAACTCTTGATACCTCTCCTTTACAAGTCTTGTTCTTATTTATACTACTAAGCTATCTCTTATCATCTAGCACGTACTGATGAGCCTCAAGCATGTGTAGCCTTCCACGTCACTCCCACACATTCTTCATGACCCAACATCCCATGTGCCTTTGCTCCCTCCTAGCCACGTCACTAATCCTTAACATTCTAGAATACTTACTCTCCAAGCATTTTCTTAGATGGGCCAACGTATCACATCAATGGAGGAAATAGAAGGATTTGGATAACAGCACAGGCCAGAATCAGGTAGATACAGCAGCAGCAGATGGTTGAAACCACAAGATCGCTTTTTTTTTAGTACACGACAAGATCACTTATACCAACCAGAAGTTGAGTCACCAAAGAAGCTTGTAACACGTTCACATTCATTACTAGTTATATCTATACTTATGTTGATCATTTCTTTATGTTATTTGTACAAGTAACTGGTCTATAGATGAGTGCTATTGGAGTAGTCAGGTATATATCAACAGTAGCATATCAATTTGGTTTAGGATGATCTCAGATAGTATAAGCTAATACAAAACATTTCTCACAGATAAAACAAATTTAGGATGATGATCTCGACATATCCTTTTACAAATCTTAACATCACCATTGTTGTCTTGAACTCAGCAAAGCATCGCAAAAGCAAATCTCTGAACAAGCCAAAAAAAAAGAATGAGCAAAAACGAAACAAACAGTCCAGCTTCCAGATAAACAATCATTACTCTAGCTTCTCGAGTTCTGACATCCTCTCGATGATCGCCTGCAAGTTAAAAAGTCATTCTTTAAGTTGTGTGATACATCCTCGTGAAAGAGAAAAGCTTGAAAAGAATAAACTCCCATACCCTTTTGCTTGTTTCTTGGAGTTCTCCAGCAAGAATGAATTCATCAAGTATCAAGTATACCTGTTAAAATCAACATACATACATAGTCACAAATGAAAAATTCTACTCAATGCTTTATCTAAAGGGTCGAGAGATAGTCAGCTTAGAAAGCCCTTCACAAAAACTATACAGGCTTTGGTTTTTAGAAAGCCCTGGCAAAAAGGAGACAAAGCAAGACCCCAGTTTTCCGAATTGTACAGCATTAAACTTAGAGGATAGAGAACCCAAAGAAGCAGTTAGAGAAGCTATAAAGATAAGGGCAACGAAGAGATATGGCGTACCTTGTGGAAGTTAAAGACCAAATCAAGCTCACAGACATTGCTGAAGAAATGATCCAAAATCTCGACAAACAAATGGATGCACTCAAGGTAAGCCAACTCATTGTCCGTTATATCCACGCACACGGAGAAAAACAGCCCAGCGTAACGCCTGTATATCACCTTGTGTGTTCTAAACTGAAACAAGAAGACAGTGACAGATTAACAAAGCTAGAAACTTTTGAAACCAATAGTTAGCTTTTCTATCAACGACAAACCTCAACGAAATTGGTGAATTTTGCGTCGCGGTTCACCACTAACCTATGAACCTGAGGAGAAAGATTAATAATCAGGAAGAGGAGCCAAAGGATTGAAGGAGAGAGAGAAAGACCTCGTATTCGACTTTGTGTTTCTCGGATTCTTCGAGAGGGACATAGTACTTGGCAAGACGAGTCTTCCCTTGTCTGTTCTGCAATAATATGAATCGGATCTGCAAACAGACAAAGTGAAAACTGAGACAGAGAGAAGGATCAACAAAGTGGAGAAGAGAAAAATCAGTAATACCATTTTCTCGAGCGATCAGGGTGGAGATGTAACCCAATTATCTTGATTCAGATCTCTCTCGCTTTGAATTTTCAAGCTGGCGCAACAGACGGACCTTCGAATCAAACCCCAAAGTGTCCCCACAGACCTTCCGAGTTACATGAAACATTATTTAGAGGAAATGACCGATTTTCACATTTATAAATGAAAAAACGTAAATTACACTTTGTTTATGATAAAATATAGAAAATTTATGAAAAAGGAAAGAAAAAGAAATTATTTTTCTAAATAAAAAAATAAAATATAACTAACATTTTCAGATGAAAATGTTTTATTTTAAAATAAATTAAGTATTTATTATTTTAAATCTTACCCCTTACCCTTAATAACAAATTCTAAATATCAATATGAAACCTTAAAGGTGTTTATATTAATATTTTATGTGATATGTTTATATAAATATGTTGGATAAATTTCATTGCTTAGAAAAAAAGTTATTTATAAAAGAAAAGTTGGATAACTAATACTCCATCCGTTTTTTAATATATGATGTTTTGAGTTGATGAACAAAGATTAAGAAATTTACATTATTCTAAAAAGCACTTTAAAGGATATAATATTATAATTATTCAACCAATTATAAAAAAAAGACTGTAAAATTTTATTGGTTGAACAATTTCCAATAAAGTTAAAGTTAACCTTAAAACCTCAAAAGATACCTTAAAACTTCAAAACGTTCTAAAACATCATATAATTTGAAACGGATGGAGTATTAATTATCGCTGAAACCGGTGACACGGTTTCTTAGGAATTTTTTGTTTTTTTTTATTTTTCTTTTTTCTTGTCTGAATTTTTTTTTTAAAAACAAGCTAATCGCGGACTACTACGTGTATCTAGGACCCGTGAACAGAGCAAAAACCCCCTCCACTATCGGTTCTTAATTTGTGCTTTCACATCAATCTTTAATTTTTTGTGGGATCCACTCAAATACTTAATTAATTTTGTTAAAGATGTCATTGTTAAAGGTTCCCTTTAATGATGGTCTTAGGTTTAAGATAAATTCCTAGATCATATGTAATAGTTTAAGTTAAGGATCTCTATTACCTATATAAGAGCAACATTATTGCATGGTTTCTTGTGGTTGATTCTTAATACACATATATGTGTATGTATATTTATTATATATGCATATATAATTGTGGATTAAGGACTTTACGGAAAATGAAACAGAAAGTTTCTTAAATAAGAGATTTTCTGTTTCGTTTTCCGTAAAATTCTTAACCCACAATTATATACGTATATATAATATATACATACAAGGAAATGAAAGTGTAAAATGATCTAATAAAAAAGATAAGAAAGCTAAAGAAGATTAATAAAGCAAAAGCAAATTGTCTTATACGTTTTTAGATCAATTATTAAACAATCATCAGAAACTTTATTTGGTATCACCATTATTTGGTATCAGAGCTGAGGTTCTGTCCAAAAAATACTAGATATAAAAGATGGAAGATACGAAGACTTCAGTGGAATCAAGGGACTCTATATCGTCTGCAGTAGTATGTCAATGTTGACCACATCGAACTATGTTGTATGGTCAATGAGAATGAAGGTTTTGTTGCGAATTCATAAAACTTAGAAAACCATTGAACCATGTTCAATGGATACAGAGAAAAACGACATCACAACAGTACTATTGTTTCAATCCATACCGGAGAATCTAATTTTGCAGGTTGGAGAACAAAACTCCCCTAAATAGATCTGGGAAGCCATTAAACTAAGAAACCTTGGTGCTAAACGTGTAAAGGAAGCTCGTCGCCAGACCCTTATGAGTGAGTTTGAGCGTTTAAGAATGAAAGACTCAGACAATATCGATACCTTCTCTGGGAAGTTATCGGAACTTGCGACAAAATTAGCCTCTTTAGATCAAACAATTGTGGAACCAAAGCTGGTAAAGAAATTCTTAAGTTATTTACCTAGAAGCAAGTTTATTCACATCACAGCAACTCTTGAGCAAGTGCTTGACCTAAACAAAACAAGCTGTGAAGATATTGTTGGGAGACTTAAAGCCTTCAAAGAAAGAATTCTTGATGAAGATTCACACAAACCGCAAGGTAATCTACTATTCTCCAAATATGCGAACTCATATGATCAGAAGGATTCAAGTAATATGAGTGGACGAGGGAGAGTTTGGAATCATGGTCGTGGTCGAGGAAACACAGGAAGAGAACGTGGTAGAAGTAGTACTTACGATAAAAACAATGAAAAGAAAGATTATTCACAATTGGTTGTTTCAACTGTAAGAAAAAGGGCCACTTTGTCTCTGTGTATCCTGAAAAGAAATAAGACAATCAAAAACTCTGTCAAAGAGAGATAGAAGAAGCCAATGTAGCTTTATATATGCACGAGACTGTGTTTCTTAACAAAGAAAAGGTAATACCAAATGTACATGAAGGAAACAAGAAGGAAGATGGAATGTGGTACCTAGACAATGGTGCTACTAACTACATGACAAGGGAAATATTATACTTCTTTAAGATAAATGAGAACATCAGAGAAAAGGTAAAACTCGGAGATGGATCATGTGTTGATATTGATGGGAAAGGCTCTATTATTTTTTAAGCTAAAAATGGTGAGAAAAAGTTGTTTGCTGGTATCTATTACATCCCAGAACTAAGGAGTAATATCCTAAGTCTAAGACAAGCAACTGAACAAGGTTGTGGTGTCAGAATGAAGGACAACTACCTAACACTTAAGGATCCTAATGGAAGACTTTTAGTGAAAGTACTAAGATCACTAAATAGGCTTTACAAGATCAATCTCCAAGTTGGCAGACAAGCTTGTTTACTAGAAATAATGGAGGAAGAACCATGGCGATGAAACGCTAGACTAGGCCATATTAATTGCAAGACAATAAGATCCATGGCAATTAAAGGAATGGTACATGGGTTACCAGAGATTCAAGATGAAAAGCAACTCTGTAACACTTGTTTGGTTGGTAAGCAAACACATCAGGCCTTCCCAAAAGCAACATCGCTTAGGTCTTCGCATGCGCTGGAGCTTCACAAGCTGATCTATGCGGTCCAATCTCAACTGCAACTCTCTCTCACAACCGATATATATTCGTCATTATCGATGACTGGACAAGGTATATGTGGTCAATACTACCAAAATATAAAAGTGAAGCTTTTGGTAAATTCAAAACGTTTAAGAATCTTATAGAGAAGGATTTTAACAAGGAGATAGTGACACTACGTACAGATAGAGGAGGAGAATTCACCTCCCAGGAATTCCAAGACTTCTGCAATACCAATGGGATCAGACGACACTTAACGACACCATATACGCCCCAACAAAGGACAAACCACACTTTGATGGAGCTAACTCGAAGCATTCCAAAGGCAATGAATGTGCCTAACTATTTATGGGGAGAGGTGGTACGCACACCACATACTTCATTAATAGGGTTCACACAAGGGCTTTAAAAAATCAAACCCTATATGAATGCATAAAAGAAAAAAACCGAGTCTATCTCATATTCGAGTGTTCGGTTGTATGGCTTATGCAAAGGTTGATTCAGCTCAAATAAAGAACTGGATGACATATCACTAGCTTTGGTTCACCCCAGCATAGAACCCGGATCTAAAGCTGATAGACTCTACAATCCTGTTTTAAACGAATTGTCATAAGTCGAGATATGTTGTTCAACGAAAAAGCCTGCTGGAACTGGAAGGAAGCTGAGAAAGAAGTTTGGAGTGATCCAGGTATGTTCCAAATGTCGTGGGGATCTACTATCGATGATGGAAGGGGTCCCTACATAATCGGAACACAACAAGTAGACACCACAGTTGCAGAAACAGAAACTGGAACAGAAATAGAGCAAATAGAAGAAAAAGAATAAAATAATGAAGAGGAAGGTAGTGAAGAAACAACTACACAACCTCTAAGACGTTCATCTTGTGAGATAAGGCATCCAAGTCACCTTGATGACTATATCTTGTTAGCAGATATATAGTGTGAAACTTTATTACCTATCCTCAACGACGAGCCGTTGAACTATCAAAAAGCACGTAAGGATAAGAGATGGAGGTTGGCTTGTTCAGACGAGATAGATTCCATATACAAAAACAAAACATGGGTAGTAATAGAGAAGCCACCAGGAGTTAAAATAATAGGACTCAAATGGGTTTTCAAAATCATAAGGAATTCAGACGGAAGCATCAACAAATTCAAGTCAATACTTGTTGCAAAAGGCTATGTTCAAAAGCACGGTATTGATTTTGATGAGGTTTTCACACCTGTGGCTCGAATTGAAATAATAAGATTGCTAATTGCTCTAGCTGCTGCAAACGGATGGAAAATTCACCATCTAGATGTTAAGACAACATTATTTCATGGGGAATTAACCGAAGATGTTCATGTATCACAACCAGAAGGGGTTGAAAAGAAGGGAAAACAAAGTTTTCAAACTCAACAAAGCACTGTATGGGTTACGACATGATCCTAGGGTGTGGAACACAAAGCTCGATCAGATTCTCAAAGATCTGAAGTTTAAGAAGTGTTCGAAAGAAAGTTCAGTTTATCGCAAAGAAGAAAAAGCTAAGCTCCTCATTGTTGCCATCTACGTTGACGATCTCTTCGTGACCGGGAACTCCCTAGAAGCCATTATGGAGTTCAAGAGCTCAATTTCAAAGAAATTTGAGATGTCTGATCTTGGCATGTTAACGTATTATTTAGGTATTGAATTAAGTAAAATCTCATCTGGAATTGAGATTAAACAAGAATCTTATGCGAGGCAAATATTGAAGGAAGCCGGGATGGATACAAGCAGTGCAACTCAAATTCCTAGGGAGTTTGGTCTGAAACTATCGAAGGCAACAGAGGAACCTGAAATCGATGCAACACTCTACAGATGAAGAATTGGTTGCTTAAGATATCTTCTGCACTCAAGACCCTGATCTTACCTTCTCAGTCAGTATGCTCAGTAAGTATATGTAGTCATCACGAAAATCTCACGGTGATGCATTAAAACAAGTACTAAGGTATCTGAGGGGGTCTCTTGGCTATAGTCTGAGGTTTAAAACGAAAGGATCACATAATCTTATTGGGTATAGCGATAGCAGCCCCAACACTGACTTAGATGATGGTAAAGCACA